GAATACCTTCAATACAGTAGTTCATTAACTATCTTCCATTTTCATATTACCCTTCGTATAGTAATGTAACTTAGATGCAATCCAATAAAATTATTATTTTTTCTTTTTTTTCCTTTTCAACATTATTTATGAATCTATCAAATCCCTACTGGAAAGAAAAAAGTGTTTGACTTCAATTATATAATTCCTTTTAGGCTAAATTATGCAAAATATAATAGCAATTATGGTACCAGTTATTTTCAAAATCTATTAGAATAAAAACTACACGGTAAAAGTAGTTCATATTATGCAAGATCAACTTAAATACTTTTTTAAGACAATTGGCAAACAGCGCTTAATTGTAGTAAATTTTGGGGATATTTTAAATAACGCTTTTTATAAAGGGAAACAGTCAAATATGGGTTTAAAGTGGGTGGGGTAGGAAAACATTTCCATTCATATTAAAAACATTTTGTGTAAAAACAATCATTTTGCTAGTGTGATTTGTTACCTGAGTATGTGTTTTATTTGTTTTTTTTACAATAATCAATGGGAAAACATTTTTCACAATGATGATATTCCTGATTTCTAAAAAGAGCCCTTGTAATAGCAAAATTTTTAGTTTAGAAAACGTTTCCTGTCCTTTTCACATAATAGAGACATGTGCATATGTTAAAATGGCTATTTTTTCCTACTAATAATAATTCTTTATTTATTAATTATTATCTATTCGTTGCGTTTTACATAAAATAGAATTAAACACCTCATGTTTACTTGTTGTGTCTATTTTTTAATTTAATAACGATAACTATAGCCTTGCTGAATAACAATGAATACCAAAAGAATACTCGTCTAGTAAAAGGAGGTAAATGTTGAAGAAAAATCACGGGATCTCCTACGCCTGGGATTTAGAAACATATTTAGATATATAGGGAGAAGTAATGAACTATATCTGTATTGATACTTGTAAAAAAAGCCCCAAAAATGTTTGACTCTAGATTCTGCCGTATGTAATAACCGGTTAACTGATTTAAACTTAAGATTGAATATTTTTAGATCCATATATTAATAAAGGCTTAAATTTGATTTCTGAAGAAATTAATAATTGCTACACAGTCTTTAAAAATAACAATAAATAAAAAAATGTTTTGACTTCACACAAATTAGATATTGCTTGTTTTAGATCCTATACACTATAGGTGGACACACCATTTATATAATAATATTAAAGTATCATTAAACAAAATTTTGTTTTAAAGACAGGATCAGCTTTATTTGACACGTAAGAAGGAACGCAGATTCCCCATAAATAATTTATAGGTTCTGTAATTTAAAAAATACATATTTATGAAGAATTTAATATAAATCAATGTTCAGTTTCCTGATTTCATAGATGGACTGCTTTCAAAGTTTATGGATTGTTCTTAGAACAACTAGTGCATTAAAAGTGTTTAAAGGTAAATATCTTTTAAAATTACTTCGTCTATCTTATTCATTGAACGTTTAACAGTCATAGTATGCCAAATAAACACATGACATGCTTTTTGATACTTTAATTTTAGTGTAATTAGCATATTCCACGATGCATTTCATTATTAATGTTCGGTGATTTTTAAAATATGTTAAAATACTATCGAAGAACCACGTTTTATTTAATTTCTATAGTAAAACAGGTGTTGTTTTTTCGCCCATAAAAATAGTACTTTTATCACAGAGTACGTGTTTATTGCTCAACGAATACAGTTTTCATGACATAAATCAACGAAAACATTTCATATTTTAGAAGCCTGGCCATGGAGTCGCCCTCATTACAGTGTCATTCAAAAGCGTAATTTCAAGCAGAAATACGTCACTGAGCTTAGGAACACCCCGAGGACTACCTTACATACATGATTGAGACAGATCGGACTTATAAAGTGCCGTATATGCAAAGAGTGTAAGCAAAGAACATGTAAAGTATTTGCCTGAGATGTTGCTTCGACGGCAGGTGAATTTATGTTTGATGAAATAAGTGGTAGATTATTATTTCCTATATTTTTTATGTCTGATACATTTGTCATTCCTAAATCTGAGACAAGAAGGTCAAACGAAAATAGGCGAACATTCCAGACTACAGAATGTCATCACGGGGCACCCAGCCAGTAAGACAGTGTCACAAAACAGATTCTGTCCCACATACATATATTGTATAATAATATTAGCTTATTAAATTGCTGATCTGATGTACGGGAGAATATAGAACGGATGTGAGTAATATACTAGACCAAGACTCTAGTCTAAGATTATATTAGTCAGTCAAGCTATATTTTCTCGTTTATTCCGTCAGCAATATGTATAGCTGATTTAAATAATTTAGAAACAAAGTCTTCTTGATTTTCTCAAAATAATAGAATATCAAGAGTATAATATGACGCTTCTTCCGTTCAAGCTCGATGCAAGGCGCGCTTAAACGGATAACAAAAGCAATTTAAGAATATGATATTCTTGTGCGCTTAAAGCTTTAGCTATTTGAAAGGCACATTATTCTTCAGAAATAAATACGTACAATTTTCTCTTAAAAGGGCACAAATTGTTTTGTAATGTTTTAAGAATGTAACTGAAGCGTGATACGCGCTTATCATTTAACCAAAGTGGTATTTTGACTACCTTTCAAAATGTTAGATAACTGATGTAACTATACTTATTACTTATATGCCGTAGAAGCAAATGACGACTAATATTTGGCCAATAAGCTTTATTTCAGAAACTTAATTAAAACATCAAGACTGAAAGGCTTTTGAAAAATATGATTTTTAGCATTTTTCGGGCTCAAAAGACCTATAATGAATTAATGGTAATTGAATCGAGAAATAGGAAATAAAACGCAATTAGATACGTGACATTTCTGTTTACAAGTCTACAAAGCAAGTAAAGAAAAACAAATGTGTGCGACTTTCTTGTTCTCACGGTATAAACGCAGTATACTATTTGAGATATACATGTAGTATATAACAATAAGAAAGCATCATCAATATGTAAGGCTTATAGTACACTCTATGAATGTTAACATGAATTTCTTTAACAAAGCTAAAATTTTCAGAATTTTCAATACATTAACATGATTAAATTTAAACATGTCCAAGAAACATTAACGGTTAAAAGTGTTAAATCCTTTCTAGATATTAATTTATGTCGTCCTGAAATGTAAGACAAATAGCTAAGTTGTCGTCTTGCTTAGTATGCTCGTCCTCTCTGAGCAACTCTATCACAGTTTTTTTGTTTTGTTTAGGAAAATACGCAAATAGATACTCAAATCGAAGCATTACTTTTTTCGGAAAACGCAGCAAATCCAAAAAACAATAATTATACAATTATGATTTCTGAAATAAATGCTTTAAGCAGTTACGCATATGTAATTCAATAAATAAAAAACATCTATTTGAACACAGTTCTCCTCCCTTAATTAAAAAAAGACATTTTACATATATTATCATTCAAAATCGTCCTTTGCAAATATTAAAACAGCAAAATACATGTATATGCTAGGTTACTTTAAATATTTAATTGAAGCTTTGATTGCGTTTAATGTGTGTATTTAGCTGATATTTCCGGTCAAATAATGTGTATCTCTGAATGCTAAAGATTGTAAAATAATTTTGATTTGTTTTTCGTAGAGAAACATTCTCGCGCTTTCTTAAGTTGTAGAACATCTGGTATACCCGTTCCTTTGCATGTAAAAATAATTGTAAAACCACTGTGGGATGTGCTTTGACCCACAAATGATTATGTGACAAAGTGAATAAATGGGGCTACCCCATGTGGGACCTGAAAAAAATTGACCCCCTGAATATAACTTGAATAATATTGCAATAAAATCATATGATAATATTTCTGAAAGACAAACATCTAAGCAAAGTGTATGTAGACAAAATGGTTATTCAACATTTAAAACAATTGGAATTTGACAAGTGTATGCAAAAGCACATTAAAAACATCAACATTTCATATTTCCGTTTCAAAACATGTTATTGTGATACGTTTTGTCTTCATAAATCTATGAAAAACGTTGTGCTTTGATATTAAAGAGCACAGTGGTATTTCCTCTTTTTAAAAACGATTTTAAATATTTTATTAAATATTTACAAAAATATAAAACAAACACCATGATTTGTATTAAGCTACATTTAACAATAATGAATGTAATAAATGGAGTATCATCTAACGTTGGCACATACTTAAATAAAAACACTCTGAATACCTTTGGAACTTAGAAATGATCCCAAACCTTTGTGAGAAGTTTATATTCATATAAAATTATTGCATTTAGTTATATGTAAAGTTCTGGTGGCAGCAAAATATTTGGTCGGGATAGCATGCATGTCTGTAAAAATACAAAAAAAAACAACTCATTACTTATGATCTATATATAGATATATGAAAAAATACCGTCATCAGGACACTTATCCGATCAATGTTCACTTTTTTATATCGTATTCAGCACATAGTTTTTTTAAAGGTAATATTAGTCTCCGATTCTAGTTGCCATGTTCCAAATTGTAAGTGTCAATTTTAAAATATTGTTTTGAAGTCACTATATTAATAAAACACTGAAATAATTACCAAATTGATCCACAAATGACTATAATCATTAAGACGAATGCTATCTATTGCTTCTTCGGTACAAACAACTAATTTAAATAATATATTTTCAAAGTCTCTCCCAGGAGATCTGGCGTTAAAAACCAATGATATTCAAACACGTCAGGACTTTTCTATTGATATAAATTACGTATAACTAACACGTCAATACATATATCATATTTCTGGTTTTTTTTATGAATATACTACTCAACTTTTGCTAAGCATCATAAGTTAATTTTTATATTATCACAAGTATAAAACAGACTTCTTTTCAATTATTATGGGGTGTACAATTACATGTCTTTTGTTATTCGGCGACATTACCGGCTTATTGTCATTCAGTGGCTTATTTTTCTTACATCTGTCACTTCGATTTGGCGAAAACTAACAATAGGTGAGTTATGGAGGGCTGTAGGGATGTAGCAGCAGGGAGTCATCTTCCACCAGGTTTGTGTGCGCTTAATGTACACCCCATCGTCATCACCAGAGCCTTAGATGGATACCGGCTACATGGTATACCCGCCAGGAGGCATGCTGGAGGTCGGCAAAAGATCACAACACCAGCTCAGGATCGGTGTTTGGTAGTTTAGGTATGTCGTACAAAGTTGTCGACAGCAACTTGTCTTCGAAATGACCTTGCTTATGCTGCAGGGGTCAATGTTTCCACGCAGACGGTACGTAGAAGGCTGCATGAAAGTAATTTTCTGGCGAGAAGGACCTTGCATACGTATCCCCATGACGCGTCGACATCACCAGGTCCGTTTGGATGGACCATGCAACACTGGAGACACGTTCTGTTCACTGATGAGTCCAGGTTCTGCCTAGACTTCACAGAACGAACGAACCGACCTGGTTGTGCTAAAAAGAGGTACATTGACCGGTCAGCGATACAAAGACGACATCTTAGACAACCAGGTTAGGTTGTATGCTTGACTAGTCGGATATAGGTTCGTTAATATGGACAAAAATAATCCCCCCCCCCGTAGGGCCAGGATGGTCCAGAACTACCTAGAGATGGAGTCTATTGAGCGCATGGACTGGCCAACTCCTTCACCTGACTAAAATCCAATAAAACACATGTGGAATGAGCTCCAGTTTAGAGTTTAACCTCGTCAGCTGCAACTCAGAATCATCCAGGAGCTGGGAGCCATGTTAGCCCAAGAATGGACATCCATACCCGTTACAATGATCAAAACATAATAGTGAGTATGAGAAGATGCTGCCAAGCTGTCATTGATAGTCACGGGTCACACACACGGTATTAAGTCTAAAATCGTAAAAATGATATATTTGGAAAACACGCTGCATGTTCTAAAATCTTCAAAGAGGGGGTCATCTTCTTCTCTAGCAGCAGAAAATCAATGTAAAACTCATTTCTAGTGTTAAATGCGTCCTTCATATGAATTGATAAAACAGTTAATCAACATTTAATACCTAAATAAAATTATCCATAAAAATATTCATACTCTAACATATGGTGCTTAGCAAAAGGTGAGTAGTATAGTTAGGAAATAGATATCAATTCTGAGTGCATTGTTGTAGAATAATGCACGGTTTGAGTTCAAATGCGTAGTAATATAATCACGAAGGCCGGTAGGCCTGAGTGATTAATTACAAAGCATTTGAACGAAAAACGTGCATTATTATACAATAATGCACAAAGAATAATATCTATTTCCATTCTAACACGTCAAGAAAAAATATAATTATTTTTATAAACTTGGACTTTATGTTTGGTTCGCCTCAGAGTTAACAATAGAAACGTTTTTTTAAAGGCTGTTACAGTGGTTTGAAAAAAACTGTCGTTAAATCTTCCGTGTGTATAAACATTTTGAGAATAACGCATTTTGAAAACGTTGATAAAACTTTGTTTATTTTATTTCACTCTATAATTTTTCAAGCGAAACAAAAATTATTCAAAGTGAAATAAACGTAAACTTAACTCGTTTGCGACATTAAAATAGCGTCATTGATTTTTCCGTGTATTAACGTCTGCAGAGTCCCGAGGAACGGTTGGTGCCCGAGCCCGGTAGGGCGAGGGCTCCAACAGTTCCGAGGGACTATGCAGACTTTATAACACGAAATAAACGTGCGTTGACGCTATTATAGCATAAAAGTTTCAAACAGATTCGTGATGTATAGTTTATACAAAACACAATTACATTAAAGTCTTGTGCTTGGACGGTATTTATCCAATTCTATGTTTTACGTATGCGTTTCATTTTTCCGGGGCCAACAACTTGGAAAATTCTCGGAACCGAACGAAATTTTGAATTTTAATTGATTTAACAAAGCTTGGCCTTTGGAGATTTATCATCTCAAGAAAAAAAAACGTTACATTACTCTACCCTCTACCCAAGACAAAACATGACCCTCAGAAATTCTTAGAATGATTTCAGATTGACGGTAGAAAAAAGATCAGTGACATCAGAATCGGTTTTTTTTTCAAGCAAACAAGTTTATAAAAAAATCAGGCTCTAAGCATTATTCTCTCAAAGAAATATAAAGAGCATTTATCAACATTAACATAAATAAAAAACATTTTCTCATATTAATTTTGTGTTATCTAGTTTTGTAAGTTAATCGGAGTGTTAAACTGAATGACAGGTAGATTCTACTGTATTTGTTTACATTGACAACTGTCCGTTTCTTAGAAAGGGCGACAACCAAGATTAGCACCGATGTCTATACGCCGTTTTTCCGGCATAGTTACTTGAATATGCGACTGAGGCCCTCGAATCAATAAATTTCAATATAACAAGAGTGCATGACTCTTCGGCAAACAGGCCAAATCGTCATTTTTTGTTTGTTTGTTTACTGGGCCCTGTATGTATTGCGCATAGGTGAAACCGGGCTATAACAAGAGCGCGTGACTATGTTAACACATGGTTTTGGTCCCGTTATAACATGGGCAAAAGAGGAAAAAATAGCCGATTTTATGCTATAATCAATATTATTGTGCAGGAGTTGTTAATATTTCAAGGACGGAAAAGTAGTTGTAATGTGATATACACTGCTTCTCACACATATGGGCTCCTATCTCACTAGGTGTTTTCAGTAAAATAGAGAAAAACAGAATCCCCAAAGAAAGCCCAACACGACAAAATTGAAATGTTGCAGGCTCGGTTTGATTGAACCTTATCATAGACTGTACTGGAAAGTGTAAGTTACCGTCCACGCCCCCTAGCACCGGCTTAAGCAGAATTCAACATTTAACACGAAAATTGTGAAGTTTTGAATTTAAAAACATCCGCAGATATGTTCATACAGCGGTTATCATGGAACATTCAATGTGACACAGTAGAAATTAGTAAACATTCAAATATAAAGTAAAATTCAGTCATAAACTTACTGACAATAGCAAACGCCTTTTTATTCTGCGACGAATACTCCACCGCCTCTGCGATGGACCCGTCGCTTCTGCTATGACCAGTTATGACATTATGCAATTATGCATATGCTTAAGAGCATACACGCTATATACAGGTAATACATGCAAGTAATAAATACACTATAGAGATAGTACACACACAAATACATCAACACAAAAAACAGCACGAGTGTTAAAAGTGGAATTCTTAAAATAAAAAAAGAAGTATCTTAAAAAAAAAGATACTCGACCGAAGTCAATGTTGTAACGTACTTTTGCCGCAGTGTCAGAATAGCTGTTTCAAAAATACGCCACAAGTTTTACTGTATAAGCATATGTGCCAAAATAGATAAAACCAACTTAGCATCAATATACAGCACCTGGTTTCAATATACATAAGCTGCATATATATTATATATACTAACATTTGATATCACATCATCGATATACAGCCATTAGTTTCAGCATCATTTTATAAGGCGCTATGTTAAGTGGTTTAAGGATTTCCTTAAATATAAGTTTACAACGATTTAATCAAGTTTAGATACTTTGGTCTAATATTCCTTTATTATAGGATTAAGAGTTATAAATGAATTACGTCAGCTCTCTTAGAGAAAATTGCTTATTAAAAGTTTAATACATATTCGGATGTTATTCATGAGTCTTTCCTAAATATAAACTTACTAAAATTCAGTTTTAATGTTTTCTGTTCAATTTCAAATTATCGCGCCTTCGCAATTTACGTGGGCGTTGTTGTTTCAAAGTGAGGACTGTCACTCTATTTATAACCTTTGAGCTGTTTAGGATTTTAGGACAGGATTCCCGACCAATCAGATTGCACTTAGGATTTATCTAAGCCAATCAGAATCGTCCTAAAATGAGTAAACAGCTCAACAGATCATAATAACAAAATACAGAGTAAACATATAAAGTTATAAGAAATAATTTTGTTAAGAAATAATACTTATGCTATCAAATGCATTTTAATTAAATATTTATCGTATTTTTGCAGGACTTCTACAATTTAAAGAGAATTAGGGTGATTTCACAACCTAACCTAACTACACGAATGACCGAACAAATAATGCGGTCTTGTTTTACAAAAATAAACTATAACAGTAAATGTCTTGGACAATCTGAGAAGCAAACATTATAATCACATAATACAAAATACATGTTACACAATAAAGTGAAATATGCTTCATTTCAATACAACCTACAGATACCGCTCCGCATGTACCTAAAACAAAGATGGCAGCCTCCATGAACAATTTAGGAAAGTTTTAGGAATTATTATTTTGACAAAAAATAAATTGATTAGAGCATGTTTCACAAACAATTACTTATTATAACATCTAAACATAATGGATACTACAAAAATGTGGAGTAACAGACATGTTTCCAGGAATTAAGAAATATTCAATCCTGCTTCCTAAAATGTCAACAATCTTACATGAAAATCGAAGAAAGGTAACATTCAATTTTAGGCATATTTATACATAGTGAATTACTAGAATGCTGACAACATTATAAATACTTTACTGTCCTTACTTGAATAGGAATATTGTGTATACATTACTTAAATGCTAAAAATGAAAATAAGTGATTATTAAATAAATAAATAATGATTCTAAAAATAGAAACAATAATAAGCTTTACACGCCTTACAACATGCAAACAAATATTATATTATTCAACATCATTAACAAATGGTACCTAGCTGATATGTTCTGATAAATTGTTCTCATTACTTTGGACAAATTTAAACTCACATCTTGTGTAAAGATCTCAGATACTTCTTATGTAGAAAATGTAATGATCTGAATGCAAGAATTTTTATTCATCAGAACTTAAATTTGAGCAATTTAATAAGAAAGTTAAAGAACTGTCCTGTTCTGACCAATGAAAACTCTTTTTATAATCAGTTCTTCCCTGTATTTTTTACGGGAAGTCAAACTGAAAACAGATCGGCCTTTGGCCGGAAAACAGAAATAAAAGTGGCTGATTCAGGATTCAAGCCTGACCTGAAATGAGCTTCACCTACTGCGCTGAGAGGGATTCTGAATCTAGACCATTTAACAACTGGTTATATACATATATATCGATTAACAAGTAGATCGAACTTACGTTTACGGAATTTCGTGGTCAATATTGTTACACAATAATTGGGCAGTTTTATATTAAATATTTCTGTTCAATACATTTCACTCA